GATAGGATAGCTTAAGTATGTTTTAAACGTGCTCAATCAACTAGTTTTTCTCAGAATTATTCATTTTTCAGATCTGAAATAACAAAGAAAAACTAAATTTCAGAGCTGAAATGAGATCTGAAAAAGATTCTTTCAGATCTGAAACTTTGTTTTTCTTGGTTATTTCAGATCTGAAAAAATCTATTTCAGATCTCATTTCAGATCTGAAATTTAGTTTTTCTTGGTTATTTCAGATCTGAAAAATGAATGATCCTGACACAATTTTGGCTATTTTGAGTCCCCCTTTGTACTATTTTGAGATACTATTTGAGTACTTCGGCGCCAATCTATACAAATTTTGAGGGGGGAGCGCGCGCCAAAAAAAACGTGATTTTTTGGTCGAATTTTTCCTTTTTTGTCCTTTTTTGTCCTTTTTTGTCCTTTTTTGTCCTTTTTTGTCCTTTTTTGTCCTTTTTTGTCCTTTTTTCAAAAATTTGCCTGCGGCGTTGAAAATTTGGACAAAGTAAGGTCTTTATAGTGATTTGAGCTCAAAAAATGCGCATCCCTCCTCGAGAAACTCCTCGCACAGCTTGTTAACAGTTTCATTAATAGTATTTTAAAATTTTATCTCAAGATTAATTCAGTTTGGTTTATTTATCCTAGGTTTGTAATCTTGAGGCTGACGCCCTAACTCACCAATTGTTAAACGTCGAATACCACCTGGCGATATATTCTGTAACAGTTTCCGATCTGTTGCCACCGCAATCGAAAGAATCGTTTCCAAAGAATGAAGTTCTTGCACGTCGCTTAATGTGGCTTCGTCCCAGTCACTGTCAATTCGTCTCTGCAGCCAGTTGTAATCTGCGTCGCTTCGAACTTCTGGACTCAGCCAGTTAGGTTCAATTAAGATGCCTCTTAGAAACTTCGCATAACTAGACTTTATCGCAATCTCAGGTTCGACATAATGAAGCCATTCTTCGTTTGTCTTCAATGATTCCGTCGCTATTATAACGACTTCAGACTGAGCTCTTGTGACTGCTAGATTTACAGCTGCAACAGAGTTTAAATCTTCGACAATTATTAAAACAGACTTAAACTCGACACCTGTGAACGGAAGTTGTTGCAAACCCGAGTTCACATCATCGACTATTTCGATTTTAGTTCTATCGACATCTAATTTTTGAAAACTCCCCTGCCTATTTCTTTTTTCGTTGAGTTCTTTGTTCGTGAATAAAACAACGAGATAACTCGAATTTTTGTTCCGCTTGAGAAAGTCAGCAATGGTATTAGAATCAAATTCGTTCAACCGGTCCAATTGTAAATATTCCATAATGAGTTCTGGTTGGAAGGACTGAAAACATCCAGCAGCCACCGCTTTGTTATCAGAGAAAATAGGAATTTTGGACTCGATAAACCGATGTGAAATAGAACTGATATGTTGTGAGTTTCGCAGCAAGACATGCAATGTTTCTTGTTTAAAACTCGACAGGTGAGAGGAGACTTGAGCCCGACTAATTGATTGGCCAGCTTCAGTTGTTGAAGCCCAGATCAAGTTGGAAAACTTTTGACATTGTGAAACTGATATCATCTCCTCTTTCGAATAAACTTCGTCGATAAAAATTGCAACATCTTTTTTCCTCAGTTTTTTCCTAAAAATAGGAAGAGAAAAATTACGTATAGAAAATCGTAGGCGGGGAAAAAGAAAAATAGCCCAGCTCGATAACAGATATAAATATCAACTATATATAGATTAGATTATTTTTTAGGAGGTTTCAATTTTCCCTAGAGGATTCAATTTTTCTTTAATTTCAGAGAGTTTGAATCACTTTGGTCATCCAATTTACCAATTTTCAGGTTTTAAGATTATAGAATACCTGAATTTTATTGCATTTCATGTTGTATATTCTATTACTTTCAACCTTCATATAATAGTGTGTCGTAATGATTTATTTTGTTATGAAGGTGTGTTTTCACTTTCTTATTCTTATTATTCTAAATATTAGGTTGAAACTCCTAAGATCTTTTTCAAACTTTCTCAGATCTGGTCCAGACCTGGACAAACTTGATCCACTTCTGAGCAGTTCTGCTCGCAATCAAGAAAGGACACCGCAAACTTTTAGACATATAGCAGTTCTGATACAGTGTTGATCTAAATTATCCGTATAAAACGCATAAAACTTGGATTTAAAACGCGTCTTCCCCGAGTTTAGTTGAGTTTAGGTGAAAAATGGGTTACATGACAAAAGATCCCTTAGCTTTTGTCATGTAAAGATCCCAAACGAGAAGATCCCAGCCAATAAGATACCATTCCAAAAGATACCTCGTTCTAAAATCGCCCACGACCTAAGATACCATAATAAAATAACAAAGAACCTGAGAATTGAAAATAAAGCGGTTAATCGATCAAAGCAAAAACAAAGCGTCGGTTAAAATCAAAGAAACGGCAAAATTTTTGCTGCACAATTTTCGAACATTGGCCTTTAAAAAGAAACTCAAACTTCAAAACAGCTTAGACTATAATTGAATTTGAAAAGGATTTCCAATTAATCAAAACCAATTTTGCCAAAAATGGCCTGATTTTCCAGACAACTCAAGTCGGTACAAAATTGAAATTGAGTTTTTGCAAAAATCTAAAGCTTTGAAATCATTTTCATTACGAATCACTTGCCATTCTATTTGATAAAAATATCAATTCTCAATTTTGATCAACTTTTTTTTTGCAAGGCGCAAAACTCAAAGGGCCGTGAGGCCCCTACCCCCAACTTAGCGTCCCGTAAATAAGAGCAATTGCTCTGGGATCAAATTGCTAGAGACAGCATTTTCGAATGTGGCTTCGTCCCAGTCACTGTCAATTCGTCTCTGAGATCGTAATGATTTATCCATATTGCGTTTCGGCGTTCTCCGGGAGGGTGCAAGGAGACGTTTAAAAAAAGTTGATCAAACAAATTTAAATTTAGGAAAAGTTGCGCAAAAACTAAAAAAAAATGTAATAGGTTAAATGGGTAAGTGAACTGATATAAGACAATAAGTTAGAGTCTGTGTATGAACTTGTTATCTGTTGAACTTTTTCATTCAGATCACGGTACTTCTTCCGGGATAAATTGATAGTGCCGCTGGATGCCTTCAAAATGTTGAACTTTTGATTGTAGGAATCCAATTGAATTTTTTCAAAAAACGTATGGGACGGATGGCTGCCTTGAAACAAAACGGTTACACCTAGATGCCACCCTTCAACTGCATTTGTGGTTCGGGCTAGACCACACACAGCTTTTTGATAATGGTTCCAAAGAGACGTCACCGATAAGCGATTTGAGTGCGGTAAGGAATTTGTTATAGGTTGATAAGCGCTTATTGCTAAGCAGAGCGTAGGAGCAAGGTGGATATAACCCGCCAATTTGGATGTGTACAGTGTACAGCTGGTAAAACGGACTGGGGCAAATTTTGAAAGAACCGTCTACAAGCCAGGTTTTGTTGTACAATTTAAGTGCATTGAGGTTCTCAATGTCGCCAAAAATTAATATGCGTTGCGTATCTTGTTTTCCGCTATCAAAAAGACAAAATTGCTTAAAGCGATCGGGTATTTCGAAATGACGGTCATCTGTGGCAATAGTGGGCAGGGATGCTGTTTGTTTACTTCTGTTTAAAGTTCGCGTTAGCGCCAACCGGGAGGGCAAAGACAGTTGGGTTGTTTTTTCGTCCTGCACCAATTGCAAACTAGCTGCAATTATCTGGCTGTTTACTGGATTTAATTGATTCCTAACTGTCTCCTTCATTTGTTGAACTACTTGCCGAGCTTTTGAGCGTCCTGCGTTGAGCTCACGACTGTGCTCGTTGCTCTGTGAGGATATATCGCTCCCAGAAGTGATTAAAGTTTTCGGGCATTTATACGATCTTCATTTGCTGCAGCGCCAGTGTGTCGTTATCTTCGTATCGCGTTTCTTTTGAAGTTCATGGCTATCAAGAATAATCAGAGTTTGGCCTTTTTGTGAGGTTCCCCAAGTAAAAGAACTCAGTTTTGACTTATCAATGAGTTAAAGAGGGAGATAATGAATGCAGAGTGTATACATTTTCAATTTAGTTGTTCTAATTCAATGCCATTCAACACTAAATTAAACACATGTTGGCACTATGTTAATCCCAAAAATAAGTCCAGTTTAAATTTAGTTATCTTAAATTTGCATTGTTTTTCAATAGGTATCATTACTCTAGATTTATTTCTGCTTACACTTTGATCATGATTTTTGATCATAATTCATGGGATCTTTTTAATTGGCATGGGATTTTATGGTATGGGCAATTTTTTTATACAAGGGATCTTTTGGTATGGTATCTTTCGTCATGGGAGCTTTTGGTATGGTATCTTTTGTCCTGATACCGAAAAATCATGGACAAAACTTGCTTAGAAAATTATAGAATCGATATAACTGACAAAATAAAATCAAAATGAGTCTCTTACTCAGCCTAACAAAATTTAACACAATATAATCTCCAAAACAATTGCGCAAAACCTTTAAAAATTGTTGTTAAATAGAAACTGGATGTTTCATTTTTATTTTAAAATGACGTTTTTTGTCTATCAACGAAAATTTAAGTTCTTTTACTCTGTTTTGGAGATTATACCCTTCTTAAACTTTATAAGATTATGTAAAATCCTCAATTTGATAAAATTTGTCAGTAATTGACACTGTAGTTTTGGTCTTTTTTTGAAAATTTTGTGATATTAACATCAAAATGTTTTTTTTTGAGATCTCAGAATTTCCAGATTAGTTTTGCAGTGCAACTCAGTACTACTTTGGCAATGCTTCAGTAAAAGCTCAGCACTGCGTTACACTCTGCATTATAGTCTCTCTTTAAATCTGGACAAAAAAAACAGATGAAAAAGCACTGCAGTGAGGGGACCGAAAATAGATAGAACAGAGTTCTTTCTTAATTAAAAAATTGGTTAGAGACAATTTTTTTTACCCCATTCCGAGCCCAGTATCTTTCAGTGACAAATAATTATTAGTTATCTTTACGCTATAGTCTCTATCAATCAACATATGAAGAATACAACGATTTTTTTCGAAGACGCAGTTTTTTTGATTTAACGCCAAAGTATCGATGATTAAATTTTTCATAATCAGCGATCATCCAGTACCGCAAATTATAACTTTATTTAAAGCTATGAACATTGATGCATCAGGTATGCTTATAATTGAACTAATATACCGTTTGTAAAGAACTTTTGAGACGGTTTTCGAAGAACTGTTTATTTAAAGTTTCTTTGCATTACAAAGTTATGAAAATGAACTATATGCAATTTTAACCGCTGCGTCTAAAAAACTCCAGAGCTTCGCATCGAGCGTTTTTTTTTCATAAGAAAGAAAAATGGGGAAACTCACGAGAGATGTTGTGAAATGAAAGTGTGGTAGTCGCCATGAACAGAAAGTAATGTCATCTTTCGTCTCAATGACTCACTTGAATGATTCTCAATCATCGTGTTCAGGAACTCCACGAAATATGTTTTCATGTTTTGCACAAGATAATAAATTACTTTCACCGCGTCGTTTTTTTCGGCTAAAAATTGACATTTAGTCAGCAGAAGTGAAGTTTTTCCCGTCCCTGGCTCCCCGCAAACTAACAAATGAGTGAGTTTATCATTTGCTAGGATACGGTGTTGCTCTGGACTCAAAACAAAACAGTTGTCCTGTTTTGTATTCCAGTGGCTGATCGTCCTATTGAATTCTCTGTCGGTATCACGACCACGACTGCAAGTCTTATCAGAAGAAAAATGAATGGCATTAAGACTAGACAAGGCAATCAAAGCTGATACGTCACGAAATAGTTGAGTCTGAAAGTCTGATTGTGAGCTGAAAAAATCACAAAGTTTGTGTTCTGAGTTTATACAGGTCAAGTTTTTGTCAATTCTGAGCAGAAAATCAAAGTCTGGCTCCGGTCGAAGCGCAAAAAATAGATTCTGTGACAAGAAAATTGTATCAATGTAGCTCAATAATTTGAAAATTTTGGTTTGATCTTGGAGTAGTTCTTGCTTCTTCAAGTGATCGAGTGCCATTTGGAACTGCTCGACTGTTATATTTGGAAAAACAACCACCACCTGGAAAATTTTTGTAACAAAATCAATCGCTCTATAATTTTCTTCCTTGTCTAAAATGGTAGTCAAGTAATAAAGAATGATCTGAAAATGGGGAATTGTGTTCTGAAGAACTTCGATAATTTTGTTGCTGACTATCGGGTAGTACCAATTTGTGGATTGCTCACTCGTATCTGAGAGTTCTATTTCGATGGCAATAATATTGTCATTGCCAATATAGAGCAAATCTGTTTCAAAGTCACCCGGCTGAACCGAATCTTCATCAAGCAGTGTGGTAAAATGTTTGCAGCTGTATTTTTTCAGCATGAGTCCCTTTGATGATTCTTGTTTTGAAAGATACTCGCGCATGAAAATTGCAACTGCTTCTTGATAGGAATCAAGAGTGTCCGAAGTACCATTCAGTTGACCGTCTTCGACATTCTTGTAAAGAACAGTGTTCCAAGTTGGATTAATATCGGGCACAAAGCAGAGCTTCTTCTCTCGATCTTTGAAAAAGATATCAAAAAGTTTAAACATTTGTTCGCTGTTTTGAAGCGAAAATTCTTCGCCCCCACAGCTACGAAACTCTTCAGTGCGGAGTTTGTACGTGGCAACTTCCTTGTTGCAGCTGTTTATCACAGGCATACATGGGAAAAAAGCGTAACTGCATGAAGCTTCAAAACTTTCAAGCAATGTGGTTAGTTCCTCCTGATTTTTATCACTGACACATTCAACTTTGACGAACAAATCATAATCAAGACTTTTTAGGGCACGCTGGAGTTTTTGATGGATGTGTCGTGTCAATTCCGGTGTTCGGCCCCAGAGAATTAACACAAGCTAAAAGCAAAAAATAGTTAAAGAATACATGTTTCTTTTGATTTATCTGATTTTTAAGGTAAGCTCCAGGATAGTTTGCAAACATGGTCAAAACAAACCATTTGTAGCAAGCACCTACTAAACAAATCTCAAGACCGCTTGTATCAGGGAGAAACCCAGAATGTCACAGCTCCAGTCGTTTTATGATAAAACCATAGCGACCGAGTTTCGGTATTTCAAGAGTGTAGTAAGCCGAGAAGATGTACCCCGACTGGCGCGACCAAAGAAAAATTATTACCAACCGGCGCCACCGAAAAAAAATTAATCACTACCGAAGAATGAACCCCGCGATCGAGCAATTGAAAAAACTTAGTCGCGGCCGGTGTTTATTTCTTTTGCAATAAATTCTAAATACTAATGTCGTGAGGCGACCTTCGGTACCTCGTTACTTACTTGTCCTTTTGCAGTCTTACTGCAGATTGATGTTAATTTCACTAACCAAGGTCATATTGCTAACCTGCTCAAAATACCATGCTGTGCGTGATCACTCTTATGAGTAGTATTGTAATCCGCCGTGTGTCCTTAGGGGGGGTCTTTTCGACGGTAGGGGTCTTTGGGGTCCTACCAAAAGTAGGGTCCAAAAGGACCCATCTTTTTTAGAGACCCCAAAGTACCCTGCCCGAAATAAAAAGACCCCTCTCTTAGGACACCCGACAGACAAAATACTTTGGTGTTTATTTTCGCGCGGTGGTTAAATTTAATCTCTTCCAAATTTTCCCACTGTTCAACTAAATAAGTTTGAGACCTCATTAAAAAACCTGCTTGAGAAGGACAAAGGACGTGACAAATAATAAGAGGGTAAGAAGGTAAGGAGGACTTGATAAATAATAGATAAAGTAATATATGAAAAATAAGAAAAAAAATAAAATAAAAACGGAATGTTGACAGGAGTACGGATAGGAGAGCAGAGGAAGGGTTTACGGCCACATCCGCATGTCGTCTTCGGGATCCGACCAAGGGACTTGAAGAATACTGACTAGGCGCTCCATTTGAAATTTGAAGCGCCACTCAGTACTCTCGAATCCCGCACCCAGAGACTCGCACAGCCAGAAATTTTCCATGCTCCCCACATCAACACACACATATTCAAATATGCCCACCTTTTTCTCAAATGCAACCTCAATGTAATGCAGCTTAAAATTCGCTGCAGTGGTGGCCGGGGTAAACTCTACGGTCACACCAAAGATATTTTTGCCTTCGTGAGTTCCAGGTCCCACATAAGGCAAATCAATGGGTGACTCGTGGAGACCACCAAGGGGAATATCCATCTAAACACATGAAAATAGGTTGAAATCATTAGTTAGAAATAGGAGTGAGTTAGTGGTATCTAAAAGGTTACTTTCATTTCCACTGGCTTGAAATTCAGCAGGTCGGAGAAGTGCTGGAAAAAATAAAAAATGAAATTGGAAAAACGTAGAGTTACTTCAAAAGACTTGGAAATTATTCGTGAAATTTTTATTACTTTGAAAAAAACCTATCCGGAAAACACCAACCATCGAAATTATTTCTTAGCTGCATGTTCACTGTTCTTCTTCTCAACTACTAATGATAAAAATTACGATGTTGCTATCAAGTTGAGACCCTATGGGGGTCTGATCGGTATAGACAATTCTTCTTTGGATAATTATTTAAATGATTCGAAAATTTTACGAATGCATGCTATTTTACACGATGCCGCCGGTTTTGTCCGCGAAGTTTATAACACTGGTCCCACATACTGCTATGTTTTACCATGGAAATGCAACAGTAGTTTGATTGGTCACTTGAGTGGAATTACGTTTTGTTTGTATATCAAACTGAAGCAACCGAAACTCTACCATTTATTAGAATGCTGAAGGAAAAATCAGTTGTGTTGGATTTTGAGGGATTTCGACACCAGAAAAACACATTTATAGTAAAAAAATTAGCTATAACAACTTCCGACTACAGTGTTTACCTAATTTTTCTACCTCCAGTTAATTTCAATTCCCTTCCAAAATCTGAACAAAAAGCCTACAACTGGCTGACAAATTATTTGCACGGACTTCATTGGGATAGCGGTGATTATTTATACCTGAATTTGAACGTAATCATTTGTCTTAAGAAACCCCAATGCTGTATTCTACGCCAAAGGAAAAGAAAAAGCTGATTTTTTATCCAAATACTTAGACCGCAAAGTTGTGAATCTTGACGATTTGGGCTGTCCACGAGTCGAACAATTATATTTCAAGAATTTTGTGAATTGTAACAAACACCTACCGCACCATAACTCTAAAAATCATTGTGCATTAAAAAAGTCGAAAGCGTTCTTTGATTGGTTGAAAAATGAGTGTCCAAAACGAGCGTCAGGGGAAAGTGGAGACATACATATCTCCCAATTCAGTTCTTTGTGCTTGGATGACACCAGAAAGTAACATAAGATTTCATTGACCAGGATTGAACGCATTGATTGTAGAGGCCAAGTAGTTCAACGAAAAGAACAAGTTACACTTTCTGAAGAAGAGTTGTGCACTTTGAGGAGGTTCTTCCCCGTGATTGACCAATTCATCTACTTTCAACGATTCAAATACATCAGTAATGTTACCCAGCAAGCGCGGTCTTTTTCTTCCCAAGCTAGTCTTAGTGCCCAAACGTCAACCAGGAGTTCAAACGGATCTAACCAGCAGTGAACTACCCAATGAGATTCAAAAAATAATAAGAGAAGATTCTGTGAAGAAAATTGTGTATCATGCCAAAACTGATCATGTCCCAGCCAATTATGTTTTGGAAATGCACTATGATTTTGATGATGATAATAAACCGAGTGTCTATACAGGTTATACACGATATGAAATTTATTACTGTTCAGTTGCTTAATTAATTTTTTTATATATGATATATATTTTTCATTCTGCAAGTTCGAGAGTGAGAGAAAGCGGTAGGGAAATTGAAATGAATGACACAGTAGTTGACGAGACTGATGGAACTATAGCTACCGATTTTGTGTATGACGAAAATCATGTGGAGAAAAAATCATGGAAATTTTGCAATAACGTGACTGTACCCACGGTCTGAAGTAGTTTTCATGTCGCAAATGGTGTTAATTCTGATTTTATTGGCTTTTTGTATCTTTAAACTTTCATTAACGCAGTTAACTTGTGAAGAAACCTCAGTTTGGTTCTCAATTTTATCGGGTTTAGTTGGTTATGTATTAACAAATCCAAGAATATGAATAAAGTTATTGATACATCTACGAGACTTTTTTTAGCCATCGTGGGGCCCCTTGGGTTCTGGAAAAACAGAGCTGATATTCAAATTGTTGAAAGGAAAAACATTTTATCCCAAATTTCAAAGAGCCCTATACTTTTACAAAGAGATTCAGCCTCTTTATAGTGAAAAATCCAATACCCACAGCATTGATCTAACTTTCATAAAATTCAATGGCTTTGACAGTTTGCGAAACCTTGAAAACATTCTTCTAGTTTTTGATGATTCATGCGAAGAAATCTATAACGATAAAGACTTTGTCAAACTTGCAACAGTAGGAAGACACCGAGGACTAGATGTAATATATGTTAAACATAATTTGTTCCAACAAAGTAGATGGTCTCGAACAATTGATTTAAACACATCACACATCATTCTGTTCAAATAACCTCGTGATATTCAGCAACTTGATCATCTTGGAAGACAATTGAATAACACTAAATTTTTGAGACACTGTTATCAGCTCGCTAAAAAAGACACATACGGTCATCTTTTAATCGACTTGGATCCGCGTACATCCGATTGTTTGAGATATTGTTCAAACATTACACCACCTGGTCCCTCAATTTTTTACTTACCAATAAATCAGGCAGAGGTTACACCTCTCACAAATGAACGCGAAAAAATTATCTATTCTGCAGCACATGGTACAATTGAATCCCAGCCAGCTCCGAAGCTTCTTTAGAAAAACAACAAATCCTCAAGTTATTTCAGTTATATGTGAATGTTTGCTCAATGTAGTCAATGGCAATGTATCTGTTAATATTCCAAACATTGAAAATTTCGAAGTGGCATACAAACTTTTAATCAGCCGAAAAACAAAACTTGAACGAAAACGAGCAATTATTCTAACGAAACAAGGTTTCAACTTGATCAGACTGATACTTTACTTCTGCTACAGATACTTACCATCAGCATAAAACATGGCAGCAGAAGAGTTTGTTTTAATTCCAAAACATACATATATCCGTGAGCAACCGCATGCATCACAAGTGCTATTTAACAGTTCAATTAATTACAAAAAGCCCCAGTTATCTTACTTGAACCGCATGAGACCTCTAATACCCAAGAAGCAAAACTCAGTATCGACTGAAACTCTTCCACTACCCCTTCCACCAACACCTCCCTCAACGCCTATTGTTGACCCTGGGGAACAATCAACAGGACTTCTTACAGAAGATGAGACTAATCAATATCAGGAAGGTGGGGAGGAAGAGGAGAAGCGGATTGTGGATGAGAAGGAGCGAAAGGATAATAAAATAAACTATGAACGCATTACATTACAATTGCAAATAATGGAGGATAAAAAATTCACGAGAGCTAAAAATATCCTGGAGGTTATCAAAAGCTCAGCTCGAGTCTCAATAAACGCCATAGATGAAACAATTTAAGTTGACAATGTACCAACCGGTCTCAAAGCAGCATCGTTTTTGTATGATATACAACAGCAAACTAAAATACTACACAACCCTGCTTACATAATGATTTTATCCGCTCTCGAACTTACCGAAGAGTCTGTTATTAACAAGTATGCCAAACACGCGGTTCAGTCAAAGATTAAAGAACAGGCCCAACGAAGAACCAAAAGTCCAACCAAATCTCCGTCAACCTCGGGCAAAACAAAAACCCTCGACAGTAGTAAGCCATCATCAAGTTCAAAACAAACCAAACGACTCAAAACAAGAAAGAAAGCCACCACGGAAAGAGTCAAAGAAAGAGAGAAAGCCGAAGACGAC